AAAGGGAAAGACGTGCAGATGGAGGAAATACAACTGAGACGGATAATGCCCTGATGCTATGAACAAGCTAAAAGGATTTAGACTGTAGCGATGTTTCTACAATAAGCAAAGCAGCAGAACACTGACTCTTAAGTAGACATGGAACGGACATGCATGTGTATTTTAATTCTAAGACCAACCATTAAAAAAGCCAGGCATGGCGACACACACCTATGATTTTAGGTACATGGGAGACTGAGACAGGAGGATCGCAAATCCAAAGCCAGCCTGGGAAATTTAGTGAGACCCTGTCTCAAAATTTTAAAAATATGAAATAAAATATAAAACCCAAAGGGCTGGGGACTTAGGTCACTGGTAGAGTGCTTGCTTAGTATGTGCACGGCCCTGGGCTCAGTCTCCAGTATCAAATCAGACAAAAATCCACATCCACAGTAGTCCATAAATTTGAGACTCTAAGCAGTCAACTAATCCAAAAGAACAGAGGTACAGAGAATGAATAATAAAAATCAGACCTAAATACAACCATCTCAATACACGTTCATGGTCTAAACACGCCTATTAAAAAAAGAATGAGAGTTGATTAAAATAAAGCAATACCCTACTAGTATATGCTACTACCTACAAGGGACACTCTCTGAAGACATATATAGAATGAAAATTAATGCATGAAAAATTATACCATGCAATCATAAGACAGCTGGAGTGGCTATTTTAAGTTCAGATAAACAGACTTCAAGACAAAGAGCATTTCCAGAGATAAAAAGAGATACTTCACAATGACAAAAACTCAAATTACTAGGAAGACATAATTACCCGTTTTATGTACTTAATAATAGAGCCTCAAAGCAAAAACTGACAGAATTAAAGGAAAAACAGACACTCCACAACCTTAGAAAATTTTGAGAATTCCCAGCAATTAATAGAATTATTATATAAAAATTTACAAAAGACACAAAAGATCTGAACTACATTATTGGTCACCTTGCTCTGGTAATTAATATTTATAAAACACTAAAGCTAACACACAGGATACACATTTTTCTCAATGAGCACAAGGTGCCTTCACCATGAGAGTTCATATGTGGGGCCGTAAGCCTTAAACTTTAACTTAATGGATAAAACCACAATGTTTTCTTTGTCCACACTGGAAATAACTTAGAAATCATTGACAGTAAATAATCAAACCCACAAAGATCCAAATATCTTGAAATTAAGTAATATATTCTCTATATAACTCATAGGTTAAAAATGAAATTTTATTTTATGTATTTGGTACAGGGTCTACAGGGTCTCACTATGTAGAGCAGACTCACAGAGATTCCCCTGTGTTCAGCCTTCAAGCGCTGGGATTATTCTATTTGATTTGTACAGCAGGGATTGAACTGAGGACTGTTGCACTGAGCAGCATCGTCCAGGCCTAGTCTCAATCGCCGTCTCTGCGACCCCAGCAGCTGGGCCAGAATCAAACCCTGGCCTCTGCACTCTGCCAAAGCTGGAACTTTAGTTCACTGAGCTATCTGGCCGGCCCTAAATCATAACGTCTTTTTTTTTTTTTTGCCAGCTCAACCACCCCAGAGGTGGGGCTGGCACAGCATGTGGTGCCAGGGATCGAACTGCAGTCCCTGCACGCTTTGTCTAAGCTTGCCTAAGCAGGCGCTTTAGACCGATGAGCTATCTCACTGGCCCCTCAAAAATGAAATGAGAGAAATTTTTAAAATATTTTTGAGTAACAAAAAAAATACATTCAAATGTGAGGATGCACTTAAAGCAGAAACTGTCTCTCAAGAGAAAAAAATGAAAGGGCTGAGGATGCTGCTCAGTGCAACAGTCCTCAGTTCAATCCCTACTGTAAAAATCAAAACAGAAAAACTGGTAAAACTTCTAGAAAATAAAGAGAAAACCTTTGTAATTAAAGGAAGAAAGGTTTTCTTAAATAGGATTTCAAAAAAAGAAACAAATAGAAAAAAATTAATGGTAAATTTTAAGTGTTCTTCAAAAGACATTAAGAGCTGAGTGTGGTGGCACATACCATCACTCATAAGGCTGAGGCAGGAGGAACACCACAAGTTTGAGGTCTGCCTGGGATACATAGCAAGATCTTGGATCAAAAAAAAAAACAAGACATTAACAAAATTAAAATTGTATTCATCTCAGATGTCCATTTTATAATGGAATCTTTGAATCTGAGGGGTCTGATTTTTTCAACTCTTTAAAATGTTTTAGGTAGAAGTCCTTTGAGGGATAATTGGCTAAGTTTTTTTCCCACTAAATGGCAAATAAATACATGAAAAAAATGTTTAACATCACTGGTCATTTGGGAAACGCAAATTAAAACAGCACTGAGATTCCCCCATCTCACCCCAGAAAGAATGGCTGTCATCAAATGCTGGAGGGGCTGTGGGGAAAAGGAAGCCTTCTGCACTGCTGGTGGGAGGGCAGATTGGCGCAACCACTGAGGAACTGTGTGTAGATTGCTCAAAAAGCTAGGATTAGAGGCCCCACTTGACCCAGCTCTTCTCCTCCTGGGTATCTTCTCAGAATTAAAGACATCACACTACAGTAATACATGTGCACCCATTTTTATAGCAGCACAATTTATAATAACTAAATCTTGGAAATAACTCAACTGAAG